AAAAATAAATAAAATAAACAAACAAAAAAATATATACCCAATGAATTCATTAATAAGCACAATTGTTTTATTCTTAAACAACCCAATTTCTTTTTTAAAATATTAAAACATGAAAATAAGTCAAGGGAAGATGGGGGACAGGAATTTTCTGATTCCCCAGAAGCCTACACTGGAATCTATGTCCTACCATATGCTCAGTAAATTTTTAACAGCTGATCATTGAAAGAGCACTAGTGCTAGTAAACTAATTTGGTCTAACATACCTATAAACTATACATGTTTCAAGGTGAATTGCATGATACTTCCCTGAAACAGTCATAATTTGAGGTTCAAGTATTCTTAGAATCATTTACCTGCCAGAAAATATATGGTGTGATTCCTTTGTGATAAGGTGAATTTTCTTCATTATCTTCAAGGTCCTCTGAGATAGGATTACATTCCTTTAAGGTCACCCAGTTTCTTAAGAGCCCTAGAGGACTATTTTGGCTTTCTGACTTTCCTATTCTTTGAAACATTTGTCTCAGAGTTTCACCAAAGAAAAAATAAAACCCACAAAACTTAAGGGAAAAAAAATAATTGACTTACATGCTAAGGCAGTCATTTTCATTCAAGAAATATTCAGTATTAAGATGTATATCTATTACAGAGTCAAACACTTGGCTTCTATTTAAATTATCTATTTATAGCTTACTGGGTATTTACTTATTTATTTTAGATTTATTTATTTATGCATACAGAACTGGTATACAGGCCAGTGGTACGGGGGTGTGAGAGGATTCACTAGACACATAGTTGGGAGCAGAACAGGCAAATCTACTGAAAGACACTGCTGAGGGGAGCAGTGAGTGCAACAGGAGGGGTCTGCTGCTCCATGTGGGTCATCACCTCCTTTGCTGGGGACCAAACTTGTGCCAAAGTGGCTGCAGCTAGTGTCCTACTGCTTCATTTTAACCTGCTGTGCCACCAGGAAGGGCCTTAGTAGGCATTTATTTGAATTATCAAAGCCCTCCAACTCAATTTTGCTCTCCTAACTTCTATATATATGTAAAACTGGATAAAAATTTTTTTTTCACAAATATTAAGTACAACTGTTCTGTAGTAAAACTTCTTACTAGCTAACACCTTCGTTCTTTTATTCCTATGATTTTTATTATACTGTTAAATTTTAATTGGACATTATTTAATGACAATGTTGTAAGTAAAAAATAATTTAAGTATTGCCATCTTGTGGTCAGACATTCAAATATGTGAAACAATGTTAATCTCCTAGAGAGAGCTAGCTATCCTTAAAATCTTATCAGAGATATTTTTCTATCAGCTGGAGAAAAAAATGATCATTTTATTACATACAACATCCCTCAAGAAAACAAAATCCACTCATACTTTTAGGAAATTATAATTTTGTAAAAACACAATATATGGCATTGAGAGTAAGTGATTACAGTGCTCAACTGGACATCACATTAGCCCTAATATTATCTTAGGAATATGCATATTTATATAGATTTAACACTATCCCAATAAAAAATCTCAATGGCATTCTTCAAAGAAATAGAAAGATATTGATGAGATTCATATGGAACAACAAAAGACCTTGAATAGACAAAACTCTCATCACTAAAGAGAATGGAGGCATCACAATTCCAAACTTCAAGCTATGCTACAAAGCCATAATAATCAAAACTGCATGGTACTGGAACAAGAACAGACACACAGACCAGTGGATTCAAATAGAAAACCCAGCTGTAAACTCACAGGTTTATGGGCAGCTAATCTTTGACAAAGGAGCAAAGAAGATACAATGAAACAAAGAAACTTTGTTCAACAAATGTGCTGGGAAAACTGGGGTGCTACATGCAAAAAAATGAAACTAGATCACTACCTCAATGCATGCACAAAAACCAACAGAAACCATAAAATACCTGGAAGCAAAGATGGGTGAAACACTGCACAACATCCATCTCAGTAACATCTCTGAAGATACAGAACCCAACACAAGAACAGTGAAGGAAAGGGTAAACAGATGGGACTACATCAGGTTAAAGAGCTTCTGCACAGCAAAAGAAACATTACAAAAAACAAACAGACATCCTACTGACTGGGGGGGAAAAATTCCTCACACAAAACTAGTGATAAAGGATTGATCACAAAGATATACAAAGAACTGATGAAACTCAACAAAAATAAAACGACCCCATCAGTAAATGGGCAGAAGAGCTAAAACGACACTTCTCCAAAAAGGAAATGCAGATGGCCAACAAATATATGGGAAACTGTTCCACTTGTAACAAGGGAGATGCAAATTAAAATCACCATAAGACACCACCTCACCCCAGTGAGAATGGCACATCTTAAAACAGCTAGCAACAACAGTTGACAAGGATGCGGAGAAAGAGGAACTGTCTTGCATTGCTGGTGGGAATGCAAACTAGTACAACCACTATGGAACTGTTTGGAGGTTCCTCAAACTGCTTAACATGGAGCTTCCATATGACCCAGCAATCCCACTCCTAGGTATCTACCCAAAAGACACAAAAACACTGATTCAAAAAGACACCTGCACCCCCATGTTTATTAATGCTTTATTTACAATTGGAAAGACATGGAAACAGCCCAAATGTCCAAAAGTGGATGGCTGGATTAAAAAGATATGGTACATATGCACAATGGAATATTACTCAGCAACCAAAAAAAAAAGAAACACACGACTTTTGCAGCAATATGGATGGAGCTGGAGAAGATCATGCTTAGTGAAATAAGCCAGGGGAAAAAAAGGAAAAATACCAGATGGTGGTTTCACTCATAGCAAGAGTATAACGGACCTAGAGAGAAAATAATAATAATGAACAACTACAGACCAGAGACATTTTATGAGGGTAGAGTGGAGAATGGGATCAAAAACAGTAGAGGGAGGGAAATGCACTGGACTATGGTGATGGCACAGGGTGATTTGGTGATGGGAAGCCCATGGAGAATACATTGAGATGAAAAAATGCACAAAATGATGTAAAAATAAACTATTATATTTAAAAAAAGAAAAGAAAAAGTACCAGATGGTCTCACTCATAGCAGGAGTATAAAGGACCAGGGAAAAAAGTAATAATAATAATAATGAACAACTATATACCAGACACATTTTACTGGGATGGAGTGGAGAATGGGGTAAAAAATGCACTAGACGGGCCCTCCCTAGTGGCGCAGCGGGTTAAAGCACAGCACTAACAAGCTTAAGCCACTTCCGCATGAATTTGATCCCAGCCTGCCCCGAGGAGCTGCCTGCCCAAGCTCCACATGGCTGACAGACCTCTCTGACCCGCCTGCTGCTCCCCTTAGCAGTGTACTTCATCGATCTGCCTGTTCTGCTCCCTGCTCTGTCTCTGGTGAATCCTCTCACCCTCCTCATCTCTGGCCTGTAACCCAGTTCTGTATGAATAAATAAATCTTTAAAAAAATAAAATGTACTATGGTGATGGCACACAGGTGATGTGGTGATGGGAAGCCCAGGGGGATTACAACTGAGATGGAAAAAGGCACAAAGTGATGTAAACATAAACTATTACATTATATAAAAAAAAAGCATGTTTATATAGTTTACTAATTTTGAATACATGAGTGTAACACGTGATTTTCCATAGAATTTTAAAACACTAGCACTGTTAGATCATATGTAGGTTAAAAACAGTGATTGGTAGGTCAAAGTCCTGAAAAATTTAAACAAAAGAAGGAAAAGTAAAAATCAAAATCACATATATAGCATAATCTTAGCATCTTAAGCATTTCCTCTTCTAGGTTCCCCAAATGTCAAATGTATAACTATATACATGAATGAAGTAAAAATACTAATAAGCAAAGAAAAAAATCTCACTCTGTAAAACATTCATAACATTTTTTCAGGATGTTAGGCAGAAAATTTCTAAATAGAACACATCTTAATTTCCATTGTAAAATATCAGTTACATAAAAGTTAAATAAGAAACAAGATGGGAAACAAAGCACAAGGCCAGAGCCCTTGCAGAAACAAAGATATCAAAACACTAGTGCTGAGTGTAGAATAGAAGTTCAACCATACAATTTTTTTTTTCCTGGATAGCATTAGTTTATTATAAAAGAGATATAGAAATTATTTACATAGTGAAAGATTTCTAAACTTCAATGATGCCATTTCAATCATGATTTCAGTCTACACTTTTCAAGAATGTCACCATTTCGATATAAGAAATAATCCTTGTTACCTAGAACTAATCTGATGCCTCTGTATTCTGGGAAGAAAACCACTTTATAATTTTTACACTAACTGGTTGAATCTGCCACGTTTACCTTTAGAGTCCCATCCAATAGCCACTACTGTTTGCCTGTAATACTTTTCCATGAGATTTTTCTAGAAACATAATGCCTCCTATGGTTATAATTTCAGCTGCTCTCCTTTCAACTAATATTAGTCAAAGAGAAGAAGCTTTCTAATACCCGTCCTGCCATGATTCTGTCTGCCACATAATTCTGATAAACATTACCAAAAAAAAAATGTACTCATAGAATAACACTCAACATGAGAATCACTTGATTAAGTAAAACATAAGAATCACTTGTTTATCATCCTCTCCACACAACACTAAGTAGGTTTTTACAAAGCACCTTAACAGCCATATCATAAGCACTGTAAATGTTATCATGTTCCTTACCTCTATTTTATTTAGGTATAGCTAGTGATAAAGAGACCCTGACATTCAACTGTATCAGAATCAAAAAGTTTTATTAAAGGAAAAAGACTACCTCAGATTTTCAAAATCCATTAAAAACAGTATTTACTGATTAAAAAAAACTAATATACAAATACGATACCAGCTCTATATATCAATGAACTAAATGAGAAAAAAAGAATCAAAAAACCTAGACAAAAGCAAAACATGTATGTCAAAAATTCACAAAGAAGAATTCTCATGATATATTTGTTCAATATCAGATCAAGTATCAAACTATTATTACAAGAAAACTAATCTTACCTTGTGACTGTGTAAGTGAAATATCAGATTTATTTCTTTCACGTATTAGATGACTTTGTACTGGCTTGTGTTCTTCTTGTTTAACATCTTGATCTTGCTTTTGTTGGTACTAAAGAATTTAAGCATTGACAACATAATATTTTTGTTACTTTAAAACTTTGAGAAGTCAAATTATTAAGGTGCTTATTTTATGTAAAACTTGATATAATGCATGCCTTCTAATTACCTTTTCAATCATTGGGTTACTAATGAGCACTTGTAACAGTAAATGGACAATGAAATTAAGAAAAAAACATTGAAAATAAAATATTTTAAAAGATTTAGAAACAATACACAGATCTCAAATATTCAAGTGATTTCTATTTTTACTAGAGAATTCGTAACTACTTATAAATCAAATACATGATGGATTGAGACAGGTTAAAGACTTAATTTGGCTGTAAGGTTTCCCATATAACCATTTTTGCATAAAATAAAAATTTGCATAATGCACTGCAATTTTCAAAAAGCTTTTATATATAGTAACATCATTCAATCCTCATAAGTGTGAATAGGTATTATAGACCTTCTTTTGTCATTTAAGAAACATATATTATACCATAAGCCATATCAAATTTGAAACTTACAGAAGTAACAAATCCCTTCAAATTCACACATTACAAACTATGATAACCTTAGCCATTTTCTCTTTCCTTTTCTTTTTTATGACCCTAATTATGAATGAGTCCCTGAAAATGGAAATTAGGTATTATTTGATAGACACTTAAAAAGATATCTTTGAACTCCTATCAATGAATCCAAGTAGAGAAGAATCTGAAACATTGTCCAGTTGGGCTCAAAGGGAACTTTGTTAATCTGGTAGTTTTTAAAATGAGTCATTTTAGACTGAAATGGTAACCACCAGCCTTAACTCTGGCATTAGAAGTTTAGAGCCACTGGTCATGAAGGTTTCTGCTTCAATTTAGGACCTCCCTATTTGCTCTCTTCCTTAATGACAATGATTAAAGGGCTTAGTATTGTGGAGATAAATTGCTTTTGTTTAAATCTAATTAAGTCACTTCCTACCTTTGACCTTGAGCAACTTATTTAACCCCTCAATACATCAATTTCCTAACACACAAAATAGGGATAATAACAACTAGGTTACAGAATTGTTACAAGGATTAAATGAGTTAAATATGAATTTAAAACAGCATTTGGTAGACTAAGTATGACAAATAAGTAAGTACTATTATTAGTAGCCATACTTCTGTTAGCTAATGAAATCTAACAAATTTGTTGCAGCCCATTCTTTATTTCTTTATTTTAGTTTTAAAAGGTATAATTTGATAGACAATAATCTATACATAGTTAATATGTACAATAATCTTTTCAACTATAAAGGAACCCATGAAACCATCACAATTAAGAGAACATGATGAACATATCTATCAAACTCAAGTTTTCTCATATCCTTTTGTATTTCTTCTTGTTACTAGCTAGCAATTTCTCGAATTTCATATAGCCAAACATTATTTTTGGTTAAAGATTCACTTATGCATACAGAACTGGAACGCAACCCAGAGGTGCAGGGGCCTTGAGAGGACTCACCAGAGACAGAGTGGGGAGCAGAACAGGCCAACTGACTAAGTACACTGCTGAGGGGAGCAGTGGGCAGGCCAGGAGTAGTCTGCTGCACCACGTGGTCACCTCTGGGAAGGTGGCCCTAGCCTCCTAGTGCTGTGCTTCAATTGGCTGCACCACCAGGGAGGGCCCATTAGGCACTTTTTTTAAAAATCAGTTTCTTTTTCACAAACATAATTGTGAGAATCATACAAGCTACTTTCAGTAGTCCATGGGCTTTTTTCTGCTCAATAGTATTCTATTATATAACTATATCACAATTTGCACATTCTCCAGTCAGATGGACATTTGTGTTGTTTCCAGTTTGGGGCCACTACTAAAAAGCTACTGTGTATGGTCATATACATGTTTGTATAGACCAGTGTTTTGGCATCTCTTGGGTAAATACTTAGGAATGAAATGCCTGGGTCATATGATAATGTATGTTTTACTTTTTAAATAAATTGACAGACTGTTCCTAAAGTGGTTACATTATTTTATACTCCCAACCAGCAGCACTTGAGAATTCAGTTGTTCCACATCCTTTCCAACATTTGGCTTTTTAATTTTAGATATGCTAATGAGTGCATAGTGATATTTAATTTCCATTTTCCTAAGGACTAACAATGTTCAAACTTTCTATTTGCTTACCTGTCATCAGTATATCTTCCTTGGGTAAGGTAGTAGTCCAAAATCTATGTTTTTTTAAAAAATATTTATTTATTTATTTATGCACACAGAACTGGGGTACAGGCCAAAGGTGCAGGAGCAGTGAGAGGATTCACCAGAGACAGAGTGGGGAACAGAACAGGCAGATCAACGAAGTACACTGCTGAGGGGAGCAGCAGGCAGGTCAGGAGAGGTCTGCCTCGCCAGGTGGATCACATCCAGGGCAGGCGGGGATCAAACTCATGTGGAAGTGGCTTTAGCTTCTTAGTGCTGTGCTTTAACCTGCTGCACCACCAGGGAGCGCCCCAAAATCTATTTTTTAATTGGATTGTTTTCTTAATATTGAAATCTGATTTCCTTATATTTTCTAGAAATAAAACTTCTATCAGATATGTAATTTGCAATGTTATTCCCAGTTGTTCAACCAAATTTTCATTGTCTTAACATGTCCTAACAGCAGTTTTTATTTTTGTAAGACCAATTTATTACTGTTTTATGAATAGTGCTTTTGATGTCATAGCTAAAATATTTTCCCTGACCAAAGGCCACAAATAATTTTCCTTTTATACATAAATCATTAAAAATAGATATTCTTTACTAACTAGTTTTTCCTGATCTATGCTGGGTCATACTTACTAGGTAAACACTAGACCCTAATACTGGTGTATATCAGAAACAATATTTTATATACTCTTTCCTCTCACTGTCAACACTATGCAATAACTGTACAACACTTTCCAATAGGTATTGAATAAATTAATTCACATTAAAAATACACTGCTATTACATGATACAGAACTAATACCTGAGCATTATTTAGATTATATCTTGAGAGCAATTACCCTATTTTTGTAGAACCTACTATGTTCAAATTACTGAGTTAGATATTGCATGGGGACAGAGACATATTGCCAATAGTTATCAAACTAGGTAATAGGCATTTTATATAAATTTGTTCATCTTTAATTTAAAAATTAAGAAATACAGTCTTAGAACAAGACTAATATGTTCAAAGTCACAGCTAAAAGCTGCAGAAGCTAAGGTTTACATCCAGGCCTGAATAAGTAAGAAAAGGAGGCATGATTTGAGACTGATTCCAAAGACTATTTTCTTGATAGCTTGCTACACAAGACAATATTGTTATTACTCTCATTATAAATAAAACGCTATTAACTTAGTACCTGAGGAAAATCTTCAGCAGCGACTGACTTCTCATCATTTTCTTGTGCCATTAGAAATGTAGTGGGAGGGGCAAAGTCAGTATTCTGCTGCAACTCCAATTCTCCCAAACTCATTGGACCATGACTAGCACATGAATCTTCACAAACACCACCTGTTATCAAATATGTAAACAGAAAGTTAAAATAAATTGCTTATTTTATCTTAGAAAATAAATAACTGCCTAAAACCATCAGTATTTCTCACCTGCTAAATTATAAGCAGCAGTATGTTTTAATCAGAAACACCTGGTACCAAGTGTTCAATTAAAACCCAATTAAAACCTAAAACCCTATTTTTTCTAATTAACGGCTTCCTTTTTTTTTTTTTTTTTTTTAAGATTTATTTATTTGTTCATACAGAACTGGGGTACAGGCCAGAGGCTCAGGGGCGGTGAGAGGCTTCACCAGAGACAGAGTGGGGAGCAGAACAGGCAGATCGACGAAGTACACTGCTGAGGGGAGCAGCGGGCGGGTCAGGAGAGGTCTGCCGCACCATGTGGTCACCTCCGGGGCAGGCGGGAATCGAACTCATGCGGAAGCGGCTTTAGATTCTCAGTGCTGTGCTTTAACCCGCTGCGCCACCAGGGAGGGCCTTAACGGCTACCTTTTAAAGATAGCAAATCATACTCTCTCACTTTAATCAGCACAGACATGTAGTATTATATATAAATAAAATTTTTCTAACTGAAATAATATTCTAAAGATTCCATAGACCTTCCCATTTAAAAAGTGTCTGCTGCTGACAATTAAGTATGGCAAGTGGTTAACTCTTGTCTTTCATGTTAATTTTATTTTTAAGTGGATTTTACATAAACCAAAATACACTTTTTTTATTATAGTAGCTTATTTTTACACCATTTTGTGCCTTTTCCCATCTCAGTTGTAATCCCCATGGGCTTCCCATCACCAAATCACCTGTGTGCCATCACCACAGTCCTGTGCACTTCCACCCAGCCCCCTGCCATTTTTGATCCCATACCCTATTTACACCTGTAAAATATCTCTGGCATAGAGTTGTTCATTATTACTATCTTTTCCCCTGGTCCTTTATACTCCAAAAACATAGAATTTTAATTTTTATCTTCCTATTATTAAATCTATGCAAAACAATTTGTCAAAGTTATTCCCTATTTTATTCTCATTTAATTATCTAGCATCATACAATTACTTTAAATAGTGACAATAATATCCATCACTTAGAATAACAATTGCTCCAAGTCTCTTTACATTCTGATATAAACTTCTGTTCTGAAATCCTTTCCCATACATTTTTTTATGACTGGCAAATAAATTGACAAAAAAGAATTACCATTTATAATGCTAATTATATAGCTATATAACTAGGAAACAAACCTATTAAAGGTTATGAGAGAATTTGGTAAAATACTGAATACAAGTATATAAAAATCATTCACGCTTCTCTATATTATTGCAGTATATACCTTGAAGTAGAAAAATAATCCTTTAATATGACCAAGCCTAAATGATAATTATTGATAAAATTAAGAATCCATATCAAGAAAACTGTGAAACCTTACTGATGAACACTAAACAAGATCTGAATAAACAGTAGAAATAACATATGTCAAGTCTTCATATATTAATAAAGAAAATCGGTATAATTAAAATTAGGGCGATTTTTAATTAAAATACTTTATATTGAAGAATAACTGCTTAAGCATTACAAGAAATCATGAAAACATTTTTTATTTTATGTTTTAAGGGATTTTACTTATTTTGCTAGAGGTGGGGATGGTGGTGAGGATTCACTGGAGTCAGTGTGGGGAGTCGAACAGGCAGATTTGACTGAAATACACTGCTGAGGGGAGCAGTGGGTGAGACAGGAGAGGTCTGCAGCGCTTTCTAGGTTAGCTCCCAGCCAGGAGATAGAACGCAAGTCATCAAGGTGGCAGTATTGAGGCTTAATCCCTACACCACCAGAGAGGTCAAAAATCTTTTTTCAAACGAACAACTTGCCCTATCAGATAACACATTTTACCATAAAGACAGAATAACCTACTACCTTTTAGCTCATAAAGCACACAATAATCCCAAAACAAATTTCCGACATTTCTTTTAAAATTTTAATATACAAATTGGTTGATATAGCAAATCAGTAGTAAAAAGAGAGCCACACAAAAATTGAGGCTGACACCTCTGGCTATTTATCTGGAAGACAATCAAATTGGACTTCTATTTTACACCACTTGCAAAAACAAATTCCAAGTTGATTTAAATATAGATATATTAAATAATGAAAACTTTACCAAAAAAAAATAAATCTCCTTGGCTAGGAGAACCCCAACCAAGCCATAAAAACAGATCAAATAAAAAAGATCAAAATAATTATATACAAATTTTTCATTATATAAGGAAAGGAAGATCATAAATAATGTCAATAAATAAAGTATAAATCTGGAAAAAAGCATTTGCAATACAGATGATAGAAAACATTTAAAATATAGAAATAGCTCTTGCAAAATTACAAGAAAAGTTCTTCTAACAGATGGGGAACCTAACACATGGGAAATAACTTTAATAAGCAATTCACAAAGAGTAAATCCAAATGTCCAACAAACATGAAACAGCATGTAATTTTACCAGAGATATATTTTTATATTTAATTGACAAAAATCAAGAATAATAAACACAATTTCTGCAGGGGGAGTAAATCGAAAGAACAGTAAACAATTTCTGCAGGGGGAGTTGGGAAAGGGTACAATTACTGATAAAAACAAGTTATTTTTATCTTAAAAAAAAAAGCTGGCATGTCTATTTTAAAATTACAAAGTTCAGGGAGGAGAGCACAATGGACTACTGGAGGCCTAAAGCAGGAAAACTATGGTGACTAAACCCAAGGGGAGAAATCTTATACTGGGAAAAAACAAACAAGGATGCAAAATAATAGTACATCATCAATAATTAACTAAAAATACATTTGCTTTTGGACTCAGTAACTACTCCTTGCCTTAAATATACAGCAATGTATTAGTATATATGTGTATAATATTTACTCTAGCATTGCTCACAGTGGGGAGAAATGGTAATAAAATAAATATCTAGGGCCTCCCTGGTGGTGCAAGGGGTTAAAGTGCAGCACTATGAAGCTACCCACAGCCATGCAGCATGAGTTTGATCCCAGGCCAGGGAGCTGACCCACATGGCACAGCAGACATCTACTGTCTTGCCTGCTGCTCCCCCAAGCAGTCACTCCGCCTGTTCTGCTCCCCACTCTGTCTCTGGTGAATCCTCTCACTCTCACACCTCTGGCCTGTACCTCAGTTCTTGTATGCATTAATAAACCTTAAAAATTAAATAGGCCCTCCCTGGTGGCGCAGCGGGTTAAAGCACAGCACTGAGAATCTAAAACCGCTTCCGCATGAGTTCGATTCCCGCCTGCCCTGGAGGTGACCACATGGCGTGGCAGACCTCTCCTGACCTGCCCGCTGCTCCCCTCAGCAGTGTACTTCGTCGATCTGCCTGTTCTGTTCCCCACTCTATCTCTGGTGAAGCCTCTCGCCGCCCCTGAGCTTCTGGCCTGTACCCCAGTTCTGTATGTACAAATAAATAAATCTTTAAAAAAAAAAAATTAAATAAATATCTAACAGCAGAATGACTGAATGAATTATTGGAAATCAACATTAAACAATTTTATATACTCATTGAAAACAGTGAACTTAAGCAACATCAGTTCACCTGGAGTAATTTCCATGGGTTTTACTGGGTAAAGCATAATGCAAATGAGCATGCATGATATGATCTCATCTTGTAAAATAATGACAAACATATACATCATATGTACATAGGTGTATTTACAGTGTTCACATGTATAAGGAAAAAAAATGAAGCTACACAGCAGAATGAGAACATGACTTACCTGGGGTAAGTTGTAATATGGGATAGAAGAAAATGTAGGAAAAAGAACAGAAAGAAGGCACTAACAAAGAAGTCTCAAAGTAATATACAGTATGATTCAATCACTTTTGTGTGAGACTGTATGTAGTTAATGTATAGATCTAAAGAAAAATTAATCAAGACACAGGTAACTTGATTAAAAAAAAAACTAGATGTAGAAACCTATGATATATATAATCAAACATCTAAAATATATTAAAAGTACCTAACAGGTTTCAACTCATGTATCACCCAATCTTTTAACACACATTTGCTGACTGTGCACTAGATACATACTCTTGCACAACACAGATAACATGGATGTGACACTGAAATAAGTTTCTATAAATTAGTATGATAAGATTGACATTTGACAGATGACATTAGAGGACTATACAAAGAGCACATATGAAGGGTATATAACCCTGCGATAAGGGGTCAGGAAAGGTAAAGTTTACAAGGTGAATACTATTTGTGGTAAGCTAGCCCTAATGACTCTTGTCTTCTAGTACTGACACTTTTTTGTGTTTCCCTGCTATATTACTGCAGGAGTGGTCTGTACTATCAATAGAATGTGGCAGAAAAAATGGCACGCCAGTTCTAAAATTAGGTTATAAAAGACATTGTGGTTTTCATGTTGGTTGCTCACTTTCTTTCAGATCATCTGCTCTGAATGAAGTCAATTATTTGGTGATGAACAGTTCTATGGAAAAGAGCATGTAGTGAGGGTGAGGACTCCTGCCAGCAGCCTCATGAGACCCAAACAACAGCTTGACTTCAATCTTATAAAGAGTTTTTAACAAACACCCAACTAAGTTACTCCATATCCCTGATTTTCAGGAATGAAATAATAGATATTTGCTGTTTTTTCAGTCACCAAACTGGAAGCAATTTGTAATAGGCACCTAATACACATCATCCCAATTTGACAGATGAAGAAACTTGCCTAAAAATACACAGAGCTTCAATTCAGACTGATTTCTGAAAATTTCAAAATCCTGAATGTTGCTATATTGTATCGTCTATATGTTCGCATTTACATTGTGCCACATTATTTTTTCCCAATTAAACAAAAATCTACATTATACCTATTAAAAAGATGCACTGTTTTTATACCTACTACAAAAAAAGGTAATCTGCTAGGAGCTACCAGAGGTAGGAGGAGGAGCTAAGTAGGATTATAACCTCATGAAATTTATTCTGTAATACTTAACAAGTACCGATTGAATAGTTGTTCTCAAGTACCTAGCAGCTCTCAAGTTATCTGCGAGAGCCATCTAGTGTTAGTTCTGTGTAACTGCAACCTACAGTTAGGACGTGAATACGAGTCACATTTTTTGCCATTTAAAGCATCAGTACTCTCAGTAGATGCACAAAATGATAAATAATTCCAATATTACTTTACATTTCTTCCCATAAAAATTAAAAGACATAAATTTCTCTCAATTTTGAATGTTAGGAGGTACTCACTCAATATAAAAATGACTCTAGGCCCTCCCTGGTGGCGCAGAGGGTTAAAGCACAGCACTGAGAATCTAAAGCCGCTTCCGCATGAGTTTGATTCCCACCTGCCCTGGAGGTGACCACATGGTGTGGCAGACCTCTCTTGACCCGCCCGCTGCTCCCCACAAAGAGTAAATCCAAATGTCCAACAAACATG